CACTAAATCCCACAAAAATAATGCATCAGAGTTCAACACAACTACGACAAATATGACCCAATATTTACTCAAACACTTACTGGTAGCAAAATTACATTATCTCTTATCCACCATATTGCCTTGACTGGATCCTGATCACCGGAATAGTTGGTGGTTTACATGCCAAAAAAAATTTATAGCCACATCTCTTATGAACAACAATAGTAGATGGTGTTAGGACTGGTTAACCATCTGAGGGAATAGCGGTTGGTCCATTCACTTCAGTTCCTTCGCTAGCCTCAGGATTATCTGTATTTTCACTTTCAATATTTTGATGATGTCTCAACAATGATTGCAATATAGTTGATAGCTTGCCTATTTCATTGGCTAAGTTTTCTAGAGTAATATATACTGGGTTTTGAGATCGACCCCAGACTCTATAAACTTCTACCTCTATCATTGGTTGAACTTCCATAAACTAAAGCCTCCAGCTCAATTGGTAACCCTTGACTCACTCCTCTACCTTACCCCTGGCCTCGAGCCCTAGTAAAAATGGTTTCAATGAATACTTTGGGCTCTTGAACTCCCCTTGCACGCCCCTATCCCTTCTACGGGTATTGGTGATCTTACATGTATATTTTCAAGTAGAGAATCCGCCCTATCCAAGGTAACTAAGGCAGTCCTCCCTGAATGTCGAGAATGGTCTAAAAGAATTTTCAGTAGATCCTATAAAATAGAGAAAATAAGACTTTTGTTCTCTATTTTACTCCAACAAATTCTCTATATTCTTTTCTTAAAAGCTCTTCTATCGTTGGTTCTTGATATCAATTCATTAATCAATTTTTAGTCACGAATCACCGTGCACTTTGAAAAGAGTTCATTCATTAATCTATCCTTTTTCTTCAACTACTTTATTGTTTTTACCCTTAATAAATAGAAAAAAAAAACAAAATATCAGGTTTTTTAGAATGGTGCCTCTCAAATACCATGTTTTTTGCACGAGGTCATCAGAACTTGACACACGTACTACAAAATGTGTCTCTTTGTCTTTACTAACCGGCAACTCTCTAAAAACACATTATAGCTCACAAAATATGAAATTCCTTATTTCACGAGTCCCTTAAATTGCATCAAACCACCGTACTTCAAATATATGTTTCGCTATATTTATTAAAAGAAAAACATAAAACAACACATGATTGGGAAAAAAAACACAACTCGCAAAACAAGAGTTTCTTATTTTGTGAGTTGTGTTTTGATACAACTACATACCATACTCGTAATTTAACTTCCTTACAAGTTCTGAGACGGAAGAAAAACACATAATAAACTAAAAATTAACTTCTATTTTGCGAGTTGTGTCCCCCCACCCCAAAAAAAAACAAGTTGAAACTTGACAGAAGTTAGTAAATCTACTACCAATGAGATATAATATGTAAAAAAATCGACAAAACAACAATATATAGAGCTCGCAAAAATGTAGTTCTAAAAAACACGTTTTTTTTGTAAATATACATAATGAGAGTAAATTACGTAATCTGACCTGGTTATTTGTCGTCAAATTATCTTTGAAATCACTGATTTCTTTAGAGAAGTTAAAAAAAAAGATCTTAACTAATCGATTTTTTGGGATATTTTAGTTTTTTTGTTAATTAAGGAAAAAACATTAAAATGATTAGTGAAAAAGAATATGATTAACCCCTTGAAAGGTCGTTTCTTCCAAATTTTCGGGTTTCATTACCTTTTCTTATTTGTGGTTCTGTTTTGTTATAGCCTCCATTTATATTTATCATTGGATTCCAATCATTCATGATCGTTAAGTCAACAATAGCTACCATTTTTGTTACTAATCAGGGCTCGCCACTTTCATCATTTCTAACCCTAATTCATTTCCTAAAACTAGTTTTGTATAAACAAATCCACATCATCAGTTACGTTAAGAAATAGTGTTGAGCTGTCAAGTCATCCATCATGTTAGAATGGTAACTGATTAATGTTTAAATCACCCACTCACTCATATACATACCTACATACATACATACATACATACATACATACATACATACATACATACATACATATATATATATATATATATATACTTAAGTATTTATGATTTCAAATCTCTGATACCGAAATAAAGATTTTGAAAGAACGTACTCAAAATACAAATCAAGACAAGTTATTATTACATTTTCATGTAATTATATTTTCAAAAAATGTATTGAAGAAAGAGTTTAAGTTGATGTTGGAGATTGGTTTGGGCAATTCATTTTTATTGTATGAGAGTTTGCTTTCTGTCACAATATTAGGTATCAGGTGGTTTAGACATGTTACTGTAGTCATGGCAAAAGTTTCATTTATAATTAATGATCATAGTTAATGTAGTTTCAATCAATTAAAATTCTATTTTTCCATATATATATATATATATATATATATATATAGAGAGAGAGAGAGAGAGAGAAAGAGGAGCGTTCAAATGAAAACCGCATCCATTTGTGTAAACCGTGTAAATCAATCTCAGCCATCCATTTTCTTGATCAATGATCAAGATTAGTTTACTATATTTTAGGAAAATTAAAAAATATATATATATTAAAAATTTATTTTTATATTAGCAATAAGGGCAAAATGGTAAACAAAAAAACATATTTTGTAACATCCTATTGAAGGGCATTATTCTTTATTTTAGGAAATTAAAAATTTCTATTTGTTAGGAAATAATTTGGCTAATGCAGCAGCCTTTTTATTCCTTATCCTGCAATTGTTTCATTGTCCTTCACACACTCATGTAAATATGCACTCTATTCATTATGAAATTATTTCAAGACGCATAGGTTTAATCATGAATCCATTTCAGCATGCAATTATTTCATGACAAACCGCATACATTATGCACCCGTTTTATTTTGCATTTCACCTACTAAATGGATCAACTACACCATCACTAAAACGGATTTGCGAAGGAAATTTCTCTCGTTGATACTTTGCATTTTTGTAGTGGTAGCGTTAGAAATTACATCAGAGCAGTAGCCCAACCTTTAAGGTGTAGTGAGTTAACTAGACTCATACATCTCCTAGGATACTGACTCTTGATGTGTAGCCCTAACAAGAACATGAGAGTGACAGGGTAAATGGTAGAGCCCGACCTACTAGTAGGTCAAGGGTCAAAGCTTATCGAAGTTGAGTAGTATGCATGAGTATTGACCGTACATAAGTATTATATATTTTAAAAAAAAAATAAGAAATTTGAGTTAAGGAGCTTGTGGATAACTCATCCCATAATGATAGAGAGTAAGAAATTTTAATAGATTTGAAGTTATCGACTACTAAATATAGTTTCTATAATGATTGTATGTTGATTTAGGGGTTGTTTGTCAGTTGCTGAATGATTTGGTGCAGAATGATTAAGTGGTCAGAATGATTAAGAGGCTTTCATGATATAGTACAAAATGAAATATAATTGTTTGGTAATTGTTTACAATGAAATCAGGACACTTCATGGTTAAGGAAGGCTTGGGATACAAAATTATTCAGAAGCTTTTAGAAACATTAAAAGACAGACTTTTTTTTTGTCAAACAAGATTCACCTATTAATGATTTAGATGTTGCCTCTTAATGGAACTATTAAGAGGTAAACAAACAACCCCTTAAAATTTATTGGGTCAGTCTACTCCTTTCTTGAGGTGTTAAAGAAAACCGAGCACCTAGCTAGCCTAATACCAGATTCAAGAAAAAACGTTATTCTCAAAAAGTAATTAACATATCGTTTTACAGTATAAAGAAAAACATCAACATTTGGAAATAAGACATCAAGATGCCCCAATTAAGAAAATAAGAATTAGGGTTTTCGTTTGAAGTACGAATTTTGGTTTATGTTTCTTGAAGTATGAGTACTTAGGGTTAATTAGCATGAAATCCAGACATTATTCTTTTGGAACACCCAAATTTAGTTTGCTTAAGGGGCTGTTTGGTAATTGTTGAATGATTTGATGCATAATGATTAAGTGGTCAGAATGATTAAAAGGCTCTCATATGCAAAATGAAATATAATTGTTTGGTAATTGTGTACAATAAAAGTAGGGTTCTTAATGGTTAAAGGAGATTCAAGATACAAACTCATTAAGAGCGTTGTAGAACCATTAAGAGACAATTTTTTTTTCCAAACAAGATTAACGATTCAGAGCTTACCTCTTAATGGAACTATTAAGAGGAAAACAAACAACCCCTTCATTATTTTCCAATCAATTTTGTGCAATAATTTGAAATGCAATAATTTCAAACTTTATTTTTACAAGATTTCATTTAATGTCAAAGAAGTAAAGAGATGAAAAGAACTTATCCCTTTTGGTAATGTCATGTGTGGGTCCCACTAATTTCATCATAATGGCGAGTTGTTACAATCATCATAATATTTGCTACTAACCATTAAAATGAAAACAACAGCACCTCCATGGACAAATTCAAGAAAAACCCTAATCCCCTTTTGGCTTATTATCCACAGCTTAGCTAACCCAGCCATAGCTGTATAAGCTCACCAAGAGTAACTAACTTGTCCACATGTGAGATTGACTTATATAGAATGGATGCTTTTTTGAACATTTTCCTGTTAATTTATTACTTGACACAACGTTTACCGGCATTATGTTATCACACACCTTGTGTCGTTTCAAGTTACATGTTGTTTTGTTCGATCAATTCTAACGTCAAGAGCATGTATTGAGACTAGAGATCACACTACGGGACACATGGTGATCAAAGTGACGGGGTAAATGAATTCTTGACGTGTATATGGTTAGTGCCGGACACACCATCGTGCTATAATGCCTTTTCCCCAATTTCATTGGCTCCTATCCCTTCTTATCTCTATCTCGTATATAACTAAACTTAAATACGTACATAGATACATACATATATATATATACATATATATATATATATATATATTTGGATGTATACCTTTTTTTATTTTTGTTCATCTATAAATATAGAGAGGAGATAAAGGAATACTGTAGTGATATGTACTCCAACTTGAGCACAACCAAAAACACACACAGTGGGTGAGAGATGTCAAGCACTAGCTGCTGCATAGAAGTAGGAACATCACCTGAGCAGCTTTGTTACATCCCTTGCAGCTTTTGCAATATCGTTCTTGCGGTATTCTCTCTCTATCTATCTGTCTATCTATCTATCTATTTCTCTCTCTGTACCCTCCCTCCTCGTATATCTGTGTGTTTTTCAGAGAGAGATGTATTTATGTTTGGAGGGTTCTTAAATGATAGCAACTTAATATCTGGGTTTGGTTTCTTGATATCAGATTTTTGGTGTTATTATATTGGAAGCAATCAGTTTCATTTAAACTTTCTTGAAATCTTTTCTCTTTCACAGCGTACTTTCGCTCTCTCGATTCATTTCTCTTTCGTATAAAAGCATTGCAATTAAGCCCGATTTTTTATGGAGATTTTTGCAATACAAATTCACACAATTATATAACAAAAATTAAGGGTATATCACACACCCAATCAAGCAACACAGTTGATGACATATAAACCAAAAAATCTAGGGTTTTGTGGCTCCTATACTAATTAGGATCACGTGAAGAAGAAGACAAAGAGCTTTCAGTTTCAGGGAATTTAGTTTCCCTCCTATGAGAAAATCTATGATCTAAGGATATTTACATCTACACAATCTTAATTTTAACTTTGATATCACCAATTGATCCGGGGTTCAATCTTGATCATATAATTTGTAAATCTGAAACCCTAATGGTCTTATTCATTCAGTATATGCACATGGAGTGGAATTGCATAACAGATCTCATGTGTGTTTTAGTTGATTTTCTGAAATGGGTAATCTTGATTTGGAGTTGGTTAATTGACATCTAGAAGGTGGGTTCAGGTGAGTGTACCATGCAGCAGCTTGTTTGATATGGTAACCGTGAGATGTGGACACTGCACCAATTTGTTGTCTGTGAATATGAGCATGGCTGCTGGTGTTAACAACCAGTGTCACTCCAATTCCACCTCCCAAGATGACTCTTCTTCTTCTCATCACCATGATCACCATCACCATCACCATCACCAGGTGTTCTTCTTTATGAAGTTTTAGTTTGATTACTTACACCAATCTCTATTCAAACCATCGTTCTTGATTAAAAACGCAGAAAAACTCTTCAGTTTTTAACAAAAAAACCAGTGTTTACAAAATGATATCAACTATAATCATTACTTCATGCATTTAATTTTTCATTATTATGCTCAGATCATTGGTTATTGAAAACGGCAGTGTTTTTTTTTTCCTTTTACATTTTCATATTGAAGATGATTTGGTTCAACAAAACACTGCAACAACTTGGTATTGGTATGTGATGATTTTCATGACTGTTTTAATGAAATACTTAATTTATTAATTTATTACACTACACCCCAATCTCTAAACGTCTCATTAGACCGCTTTACAAGACTTAATTTATAGGAATAAAATATAAAGCGTCATATCTAAAGGTGTTGTAATAAGTTTATATGACGTTTTTGGTGTCTTAACAAGTTTTTTTATGACATTTTTAATACAAAGTGTCGCATTAGCAACTTTATAAAACAAAAGTGTCATATAGACTCAATTTTTATAGGACACTTGTTTTTATAGGACAATTTTTTCAAATAGTGTCCTATAAAGTTGGTAATGAGACGCTTTATATTAAAATTGTCCTAAAAAACTTATTACGACGTCAAAAAACGTCATATAAACTTATTACAACACCCTTAGATATGACACTTTATATTTTTGGTCATATAAACTAAGTCCTATAAAGAGATATATTAGGACGCTTAGAAATTGAGAGTGTCCTATAAACCCGATTTTATTGTAGTGTTAAGTTATGTTTGGAAAACTAGTTAGTATGTTAGGTGATAACTGATAAGTTAGCTGCTAGCTAGCTAGCTGATAAATTAAAAACGTTTGACAAAAACTATAGCTGATAAGCTAGTTGTAAAATGTAAAATAATAAAAAAGTCATGTTTAAAAATTAAAAACTTTCATGATATATTTAAAATAATTCACTAATAATATACTATATTGATTAATACAAATAAGATGGTAAGGAAACTAAATAATAGAATATGTTAACT